GACGATACTGTAGATTTGTGGCTGGTGGGCCTGTGCACAGTGTATCAGCTGCAAAGGAGATGCTTTTGGATACAGGATTATTGCCACAATAGAGTGACAAATAGAAAAAAGATACTGTTCTGAAAGCAGAAATCTTATCTGTGAGGGATTATTTCAAATGTTTGCCATGGGGAGGCAGTAGTTCACTAACTTAGGGTTTTGGTCAAGTCAGCTTGTTGAGAACCCCCCCCAAAAAAGGGGAAATCTGGCAAGGGAGGAGTTAAAGAAAACAAGAGATTTTATTTTCATATGAAAATCTCTGCAGAGCAGTCTTTGCCAGTAACTAGAAAATACATCAACCTTGTCACTTTGCTTGGAAAGCTTGTTAGAAATGAATTACTGTTTTTTACTTCCACCTGAATGCAAGATATACTTTTACGTAGCATTGCTTTATTATTAAAAAATCAGTCATTTTTATTAAATCACAATTGAGTGTCACAAACACTTTGGTTTGGATTTGTGAAGATTTTTAAGTCTGCAATAACCAAATATAGAACATCAGTGTAGTGGCAAAATATATTTCCATTGTACATTGAATAGCTCAGCTTTAAATGTATCTACATTCCATCTTTGTATACATTTGTGTGCTACACTGTTCAATAAATTTGATATGTTCATGTTGCAGAAATACCCTCATGACTATTTTGGTCATGATAGTCTTAGCTTCATAGGGATTATTCCAGAAACACACTGCACCTTATTTTTCATCCTGACATCGATAAATATTGGGAATAAGTCATCGGCCTTATATCAGTGTCTGTCAGCAGATTCAGAGACTGCTCTTATACAGTCTAAAGTCTTGGACAAAAGAGTTGTCCCAATATTTTTGTTTCAGTTCTTGTGTTCTTAAAAACTCCATTTAGAGCTGCACTGCATTATACCCCAGCTTGTAATTGCCCAGTTTTGCATCATTTAGACATGTACCATGACTAAAATGATCAAGAGCCCCCACAGACAGCAGTGAATGAACAATAAATTACTGCAATATTGAAATCCACATGAGCAGTGCAGTGTTGTGTTTAACACTCATTGGCCTACTGTGCATAGCTACCTTAGTAGAATAAATAGTGTTCCAGTGGAGGTGTATAAAAATAAACATGGGATCAAATCCTCAGATACAGTTTTTCTACACTCGGCACAAGTCAGGAAGGGCACTTTTAAAGCCAGCATTACATCCCTCCACTCCAGTCCTGGGCTTTGTCTAATTCAAAGGCATGCTTTGGATCAGCTGTAGTAGTCCTCTAAACTGCAGCAGCTATCAGGACCACCAAGAAGCTGTATTAGGCACAACAGTGTTCTGGCCATCACTTTCCACAAGGCCAACAGGTAAGATGGTGGTAAAATAAAGCCTGTAACTGTGGGGTTCCCCCCCCACCTCCAAAAGTGTTGTCAGGTTGCTCAGACTGACAATCAAGAGGCATAAAGCAAATTCTGATGGGGGCTATATCTGGTGTATAATGAGCCTGTATATAACCAGTTGCTAGAAACAGATGTCATATTTATCCCTGAATAAGTTGTGCCCATCTTTGTCAAGAACAAAAATATCCTGGGATTGGCAGATGCACTCACCACCCTTCTGATCAGGGTTTAGTGAACAGCTGAAGGCACTGCTGCTTTTCTGCCATTGATTCAATGTTGCAAACCTAGGATAACTGTCCAGACCTAGGTTGCAAGGGATCAACTGTTAACACTTCCAATCTGATGAACTTTTGTAGGATTTGTCCTGGGACCATGGACATGGATATCTATATGATTGGTTTATCTTGGGATAAATGGAAGTCTGTCTGCAGCCAGTGTGGAAAGGTAGGAAACGATGGAAAACTTCACTGTGGTGTGAGTGTATATACTGTTAAACTCATGATGGGAGGGTGATGGATAAACGGTTTAATGTGTCAATACCAAATTCATACTCTAGTCAGAGGCAGAGTTGTTCATGAGTTCTGCAGAGCTTTCTTAACAACTGCTAAGAAACACTTATGCCTCAGTGCAGCACTGCGTAACTGTATTTCACTGATGCTACAGAAAAACTGTTTTAGGAATACTTTTGAGTATAGGCTATTGGGATGTTTTCACACTCCTTTCCTTTAAAGCCAGGTGTGAATTACCAAGTATTGATTCAAGGGTGCAGAATTCAAAAAGAGCCATAAAGCTTGCTAGAAACAACTGAAACAGGCTTTTCTACAACCTAAATATATTATGAATGCAAAGTCTCTGACATTACAACTTCTTCCACAGGTAGAAATAGATGTTGGGTCTCTTTGGGAAATCTCATTAATTGAAAAGCGTCTAAAGGGCTGTGAGATGATAAACTTCAGTGCTGTAACATTTTTGTGTCTAGAACAGTTTGTGCTAGCCCAGCTCTAAAGTGTGCCCCTCTTGATGGGGCTGTTTAGAGGAAATTCCAAATTTTAGGAAGAAATGGCAGCTATTTGTCACTCTCCAAAGGCTTGGAATGTTTCAGTCCTAACTGGATTTGTGGGCTGACAGCAACAGACAAAGGTGCACATTAAATTAACTTGATGCACTTTCTTACTACATATTTGTAGGGTGCTTATTGCAAAATGGGCCTGAGAGGTTGAGCCCTTGAGGCAGTCTTGCAATGTAACTGCTAAATAATTAATCATATGGTTCTGTGTTCATCACATGACCTACAATTTATCACATGGATCTTACTTCTGTGGATGCAAACGTTTACATGGAGTTGTAGATATTTTCCATGTGGAGAACAGGAGACTGTTAAACATCACCTCATGTTGTGTTAGAAAATGTTTCCACAGAAACAAGCATCACCTGTTGATGAATTAATTCAGCTCTTTCCAGGTTGAAATGTTCTATGTATAGAGTTAAAATACTCAGTATAAAGTTGGAAAGGACCATCTGGTCAGCTACTCTGACTTCTTGTATATCAGAAGCTAGTAAATTTTCCTCACTCATCCCTCTGTTGAACCCAATAACTTATTTTTGGCTAATATATATCTGTCAGAAAAGTGCCCAGTCTTGATTGGAAAATCTCAAGTTGTTGATAGATAATTGATGATGTTGTCAATTGGCTAACACCAGTCAAGGGATAATACAGCAATTATTAGTCAGTCACTTCCTTTGATAGTATGTTCCAATAGTTAAAGGTTAATCCCTCTCACTGAAAAAAATATGTACCTATTTTCTAATTTGAATGTGTCTGGTTGACTTTGTAGTCATTGGGCATGTGTAGACAAAACAAGGGCTCTAAATTGAAGCGGTGAGTTTTAAAAAAACACCGCTTCAATTTAGGGCTGATTAAGCCCCCATGTCTGCACGCACCCTACTGGCTTACCTGTCTCTTGGGTGGGTGAGCTGCTGGTAGGCAGTGTGGTCCATGGGCTGGGGGGGGGGCTGGTGCTTCCCTCTGCAGCAGCGGTGGCCCCCCCAGACAGCACCCGCCCACAGGCACCCAGCTCGGGTGGTCCCAGGGGGCACCACAGCTGCAGAGGGAAACACTGGGTCCCCACACAGCTTGGGCAGGCAGGCTTCGGGGGGCGGGGGGTGAGCGGAGATATCAGGCTCACCGCTTTTCTTGGGCAGAGCCTGCTTTCCCGGGCTGCTGCCAGGCTGCCTGCAGGGCTTCCTGCAGAGCTCACGACTTCAATTTAGGGAGAATTAAACTGAAGTAAACCCCCATGGCATGTACAAATGGCCATTGTTACTTGTGACATCCTGCTTGTCCTTTTGACTAAGTGGCACAGCATCA